ATTACCATATTTCTTTCAGCTTTTTTTCACTTGGAAGGGCAGCTATGCTCAAGTGGAGCACAGGATAAGTTCACATTTGGGTACCCCACTTGTGCTTAACGTAACATGAACTCTGAATTCTTACAGCTGTTCATGCAAAATGAAGAAGCCCCCAGAAGAACGCCATCAAGACAATATCATGATTCAAGAAAAAATTAAATCAGAAGTCAGAGAAAAATTCAGAAGTAAAGGCTTAAAATTAGAAACATCTTCAAGTTCCGAGAGCAGAAAAGTGAATTACTATGAATGTTACTTTCCCTCTTCCAAAAGGTATCACAAGTACAAAATTATTCCTCCCCAGTTATTTGAAAACTTCATAAACATTCTCAGAAAAGCAAAATAAAGCTGTCAGTGGGAGAAGAATGGCAACGGCAGCAACTCAGTTTGGGATACTTTTTAAATATTTATTAAAAAAATAAACACTAGGCCTTGAAGTTCATTCCCTTACTGTGCTTCCAGATCATTCTGCTATGAAATCACTCATTAAAAAAACAACCATTACAAAGTACGTGGTTCCAAAAATACTTTCTATCTGCTTTGTCAAGATCCCTTTAATCCTCTGTAAGTATCTCTAATCTTTCAGTAGGAGATCAGAAATGTCAAGGCTGTATGAATCCACAGCGCCTAGACAGAATGGCCACATATAACTATTTAATAATGGGCCAAAAAACCCACTAGTCACGTTCAGATCAATTTTTTAAAGTTAACATTAGCAAAAAAAGCCTCATTTCAATCAGGTTTCACTATAAACTATTTCCCATGTTGCAGATTTTCAGGTAAGTATTTGGCAATGATATAATTTTTTGACAAATGATCATTTCAAGTTCAATACAGGAAATGCCACACGGAGCAAAAAAGGAGACCTAGCTTCACTCTCTGCTCTTCTCATCCACCAAGGACAAATATCCTTGCAAGCTATGGAAGAAACACCAATCTTGAACTAAGGAATGTAAGCGCTGATGCCATTAAGAACCAATCATTTCAGAAGAGGAAGGTGAGACGCAGTCTAAAAATGACATCTGGTGCCTCCACTGAATGATGTATCATAACTAGGCACAAACCTCACTAAAGCCCGTTTCTTCGTCTCCTTTGCTCGTACTTTCTTCATGAGATGTTCCAGTTTCTCTGACTCCTTGGGCTGGATCCCAAGGTCCTCATCCTCTGCTACATTTATAATATCCCTGTAGAACAAAGAGATATCGAACCCTCCAGGCTTCTTCAAATGCATCAAGTCCAGGATGATACCTAGAAACAATGTGAGAGATAAGAGGAGAATCGGAAACTGCTTTTTACTTACATTATCACGTTTCTCAGCACTCCCAGATTTCTTTATCTACCCAAATAATTTAAGCAAGAATGAGCTCCAAATTGTCATCTGCACCAGATGCGAAATTTTCTAGGGAAAAAGGCAAAAGGCGTTCTTTAATTTCAGTGAAAATAATGCAGCATAGAAAATCATTCCTCCCTAATTAAGAATCTGGACAGTATTGTGTATGAAACAGCTCTGACGAGCTCTTATAAAACACAATCTTACCTCAAGCATAGAAGTAAGTAATGAGTTCAGAAAATCCCCTTTCCTTTAGTTATAGGGCCTCAGGGTTAAGGAAGCCTCACAGATCCAGGACATCTGCTGAACTCCAAAAACACTGGTTATCTCAGCTACATAGTTGAACTAACAAAGCACTTGATGTCTAACCTCTGAGCTCAGGTTGATGTCCTTCAGCTAATTCAAAATGAAGCTATTAAAGTAGTTTTTCTTTTGTGTTAACTTTGTGTTATTATTCCCTTCCTGGAAAATGGTACAACAAAAAGTTTGCTTTTCTTGGCCCTCTCATGTCCCAATTTATGCTAACAACGCAGAAGAAGAGATCCTAGAAAATAAGTGCTAGTTATTGGATTGCAGATCAGATAACAGACTTTCTAATTTTTAGAAAACTTCAGAAAGATTACCCAGTTCTGATGATTTTACATTCTTTTTCCATTACAAAATTGCAAGGCAGTTAACATCTGCTGTGAGGATACAACATGGTTTACTGCCTGAAATTAAAGGGGAAAATAATGACCTGTGTCTCTCAGATCACCAGCTCTGGTCCTGGCCAGCTTGGCTTTAGCACTGTCATTGGCATGAGGGTCATCCTCGTTGGTGAAGAGCATGATCCTTTTGTGGCTCAGCCTGACTCGGACATCACTGAAGAGATTAGAGCAGGCCCAGAGCGCCTCCCCCAGGGAATAGTCAGCGTTGTGGCCAAAGCTCTCACGGAAAAGTGCTCGTCCTTCATCTCCCCTGTATTGGTCCAGCTCTAGAACACGCTTTGCACCTAAGGAGGTAACAGCATTCACATGCATTAGAAATACTGAAAGATGTACCACGAGCTCTTCTAAACATGCACGTGGAGTCCCTTGCTGCTGATGTCCAAGTACTGTCCCTGGCACCTCTGTGGCAGTGCCCTTGCAACACCTGGCTGAGAAAACTGTTCAGCATCACCTCACATTTGCAGTATCACAAAGCACCTACGAGGGCCAAGAGGACACAAAGTGCCCTGATACCACTGTGGACTCTTCCTTTTGGGAAGGGAAACAGGCAGGGATCAAAGTATTGCAAATCCTTCACACTGAAAAGACAAGGGGTCAGCGGGAAAGGCAGCAATGGCACCAGCTGCGGAGGCACAGCAGACTGCTGCACCACCAGAGAAAGGAGAAGAGCCTGAAATACACTGGGCATCTCCACAGCATGCTGGGAAGGTGGAGTGCTTCTCCTCCTTCCTTGCCTCTCATGTCAGAGAGAATCCATGCACAGGTCAGACACAGCCCTATAGATCACCACAGGGAGCACAGCGACATTTAGGCCTTGTTACATCTCTGACAATTACTCCAGCCCAACAATGACTCCTTTTCCCACCTGCCTAACAGCACATTCTCTTTGCTCCCACTACGCTACAAAGGGAGCTACTGCATTCTGCAGAGCCGCTCCCTTTTCCTTCACTTAAACTCTACAGCACTTTTGAAATCTCATCTGAAAATGTCTTCCCCTCCCTTTACTATTTTATTTTCATCTCCTTAGCTGCCCTTTAATTAATAGCATAAGTGTTCGTAATTATGTACTCCATAATAACTAATTCTAGTATTTCCTCCTTCTCTAGAGCACACTGCTCTCCAGGGGCAGAAAATACACAATTCTCCTCCTTTTTAACAACACCCACCTTTCACCTGTGCTGTTTTTATCAGTATGGTGAGGTTACTGTTTCTGAAAGGGGGAAAAGAGCAAGCAGGGAAGGAGGAGGAAAAAGGATGAACAAGAAGCATATGGCAGTTTGCTGCCCCTGTGTCATTAAACCTGCACCCCCTAGTGAAGAAAATTAAACCAAACCTCCTCAGAAATAAAGGCTGCTATTAAAAGTTGTAGCCAAAATCCCCCCACAAGACTCCACCGTCAAGATTCCACTAGCATGCAATTCTTTGCACTCCTCCTACTGCCTTTTCCAATTCAGCAATTGGCACTTGTTATCAAGCATATGCTATGTCATTCTAAGAAAATGAAAGAGTGAAATTCAAGAATTGCAGAACTTATGAAAACAAGAGACGGAGCACCCCAAACAGGCTAGCATGTTGGACCACCTGTTCTAGCTGACCCTGCTTGAGCAGGAGGGTTGGAAATCCCATCCAATCTCAGCCATTCTGTGATATTCATCATCAGCTGGAATCCATGTGCCCTAGCATGGACATGCACTTTTCTGAAGTGCAGCAGACACATGATGGGCATTCATGAGTTCTCTTGAGATCCTCCTAGGTTTAGCAGACAGCAGGTGAACCACCACGTTAAAACAGAAACAGAAAAAGGATCTGAACCAACTACAAGAGAAAAAGCTAAGCTCTCACAAAGTTTCTAAGGTTTCCAAAAATTTCTAAATCTATCCCCACTGCCACCAACAGATTTCAGTAACAAGAACTTATTTATCCAATAACTCTGATTTTAAAGAGATCGGTTACTGACAATGCTACTACTACACAAATTTCCTCACACCATCTTTACACGATCTTCATAGCACTTTACCTGGATTGTCCAGCTCCTGAAGAACATAGATGTGCTTGAAATCTGCTGAGTTCTTGTTGTTTTCTGTACCATAGAACACAACACTTAACAGGTCCCTGTCACTACTGATAATTTTGCTGGTATACACATTCCGGATGCACTAAAAAAAACGCACACAGGGTAAAATATGAAAAAAGTAACTCGCAGTAAAGGGTGTGAAAGTTTGGTCTTTGGCAAGTAGCAGTTCATCGAACCTTACCTGCATGGTCATGTCGAAGGGAGTTTCTGCGTCCCCGTCGGACTCAAACATGGCCTTGGAGGCATCCACCAAGAAGATGAGGCTGTCCCGGCCCGCGAACCTGTGGTCCGCTATAGAGCGGGAGTAAACAGTTTTAGCAGCGACCCCTCCGCCCGCGGACCCCCGCGGGCAGGCATCGGGCCCCGGGCTGCCCTCTGTGAGCGGGCGAGGGGCCCTTACCGACCGCCTCAGTCCCGTCCTCCTCCTGCTGCTGCTCCTCCTCCTCCTCCTCGTCCTCGGGCCCCTCACCCCGGTAGAATGACCCCCACCCCGCCATGACTCCCGTGGCACCGCCGCCCGAGGGGCGCGCCCGAGTCACGACAGACGCAGCGCCCGCGACAGCCGGCCCCGCCCACTCCCAAACAACCGCCACTCACCGGGAGACCCCGCCCACTATAGCCACACTGACCAATGGCGAGAGCGGAAAAGCACCGCACCCCGCCTCTCCCGCAGGAGGCCACGCCTCCACCCCGCGAGGATTGGTTGCAGCTGGGACGCCGAGGGATGGAGCTCCGCCCACGCTGCGCTCGGCCCTGAGCCTTAGCCAATGACGGGAGGCCTTGTCCGGCCCCGCCCCCCGGCCGTAGCTCCGCCCCCCGCAGAGCCGCGCAGTGACGGGGCGGCCCGGCCGGCGCGCGGTGGCCGCGCATGCGCATAGACAGGGTCGCCCCTTCCGCCCCGTCTGTCACCTCCCGGCTGGTGCCACCGCAGCCGCGACCGGCACCGGCACCACCTGTTCCCCCCGCTCCCCTCCGCTTCCCAGAGGGAAGGGCCGTTCCACATTGTCTGCAAGGGCTCCGGTTGCCGCCCGGCGGCCGCGCCCGCGCCCCCATGGAGGAGCCGCTGGCGCTGCACCCCGTGAAGCTCTATGTGTACGACCTGTCCAAGGGCATGGCCCGGCGCCTCAGCCCCCTCATGCTGGGTAAGAGCACGGCGGGGCACCGGCGCCGCTCCGTCCCGCCCGCCGCCTCCCAGCCGCTCGCGTCCCCCACCGGCCGCTGCGGCCCGGCCTCGCCGTGCCCGCAAACGGCGCCGAACTCGCCGCCTCCAGCGCCAGGAGTGGCGATCTCCGCCCGGCATCGCGCTCCCAAGGGAGCGGCCCGCCGGGAAAGGGCTCCCTGAGGGCTCACCGGCTGCGGCGGGAGCCAGCGGGCGCAACACTGCTCAGGATGTGCGAGGCTGGCCCGGGGGCCGGGGCGGGGGGGCTCGGCGGGGTTTGGCTGCAGCCCCTGTCCCCGCTGTCAGCGGGACCAGCTCGGCCGGGACGGCGGCTCCAGCTGCGCTGAGTCCAGTCGCTTCTCCCGCATCTGGCCATTGCCGCTGCGCTGGTGGTATTTACTAAAGGCGAACTGTTCCTTAGCTCCTGAAGGGAGGGACAGCTCAGCTCCCGATAGCCCGGTCTGCCGTGGCGCCTCGGCAGGAAGGCTGAGCTGGAGGAAAGGCGGCCGCTGTTTACAAGGTTACAGAGTTCAAGCGGCTCCATGTTGTGGCGAGGCCGGGCTGGGCTGGCGATGTGCAGCCATCCGCTCTCTCCTTCGGAAAGTTTGTAGGAGTGTGCTCTATGTCTTGTCAAAAATGTGTGCGTTTCCAGCTGAACCTTGGACTTGGTACACGAACCAAACTTAGGTTTTGCTTGAAGTTTTGGAAGCGTGAATTAGGAATGAAACAACAGTGTTTTATACCTGTTACGTGTAGACTTTGGCCCGTGTCAGACCAGCAGTCTGTGTGGGATCAGACTTCTCAACAGGCTCGCTGTCTGAACAGATGGTTCAGTGTAATCTTGGTTTACAGTTTGCTGGCACTTTGCTCATCTGCCCTACGAAGAGATTCTGTGCTTTCCTGCAAGCTTAAAATGAAAGTCCAGATAACTCTTGGCATGAAGTTTCATGCATGTCAACAATAGGCCTGCAAAGTTGAGAAGAAAAGATTATAGAGATCATATGTGATGTTCTCTGTTAGCCGGACAGCAACAGCAGCTTTGAGAGATGCCTATTTCCTGCACTGGATAACCTCAAAACTTTTTGTGTGGTCAGAGTGGCTTCTATTGTAGCCCTTAGGGAAGTAACTTTTCACCTATTAGGTCATAATAGCCATGTTTTATCTTGTGCTTAAGAGTTAGAAATCTTAAGATGCAGATTACATACATGCAGGATTTATTTGTGTTTGAATTGAGCAGAATTTAACTAGTCTTATTTCAAAGTGTTGGTCCAAGGAAAGACTTCACTGGAAATAGGTTGTCACTGTATGTATCTCCATGCCAATATTCACACAAATCAAGCAAAGGCTTTTTAGCTCTCTTCTTACCCACAAAGTAAATTTTGAGTTCTTGTAGCTTTCTGAACTTCCACCTAAAAACACTTAGTGCATTAATTCATTTTTGGTGCTTTCTATGCTACCCAAACAACAACTTGAAAGCTTTGCACTTGTGATAGAGTTTGCTGTGAAAGGAGTCTGAGCACTGAAAAGGGAAAGTTAAGAACCTGAGCGCTTCCCTGGGTAACCGGGGAAGTGCTGCTCACTAGTACTGCCTGGTAACTAACTGAGTTCAGATGTGCTCATGGAACAGGGCCAACTAGGCCTGCGTGGTCACAGTGACAATGCAGACTGCAGAATATTTGAGATTATGTCGATCCAGTGATGGGGTTTTCCATAAAACAAATTGCTGGTCCTTTCTTTCTTTCTGACTTCCTTCAAGTGTCTTCTGTGCATTTACACTCGGCTCTGTCATATCTCCAGGTGATTTTGGAAACCTCCCCAAGAGCAAAGTGATGCAGAGAATACTACTCTTGTCTCATGTGTAGACCTTTTTTATTCTTGAAGAACAACAAAAATTGTTGTTATTTCTCTGTATATCAACTTTGAGATGGTCAATAGCTATTTTTTCCATTTTTTTCCCCCAGCGATGTTCTTAAACTGTAGATCATCAGAGAAAGTCAATGAAATTGAAGAGAAAGGCATTTCTTAAGGGATTTAATGCTAAATGTTTGCCATCTTTACTTATGATACTCTTTCCATTGGTGCCAAGTTTGAAACAATGCTTTTGCTTTGAGTGATAATTCTGTAACATTGCCTGTATTGAAATACATGTGTTTTAGAGAGAAAAAACAAATACTGTAATTGATTGTGCTAAAATCAATTTCTAGCAGGCTCAAAACCAGCAGCTCAGGTCCCCTTGCCAGAGGGGGATAAATCCTGTCTTACAGGACTGACCACTGCAAGAGCATCACTGCACAGTGTCTTCAGTTGTGCTGATAGGATCCAAGGGTATTGTGGATTATGTCAGCACAGCATTCAAGGATCAGTTTTCACTACTAAATGCTATACTGACTCTTTCAGTGTCAGTTCTCTCTGTTGCCTTTGAGTGATGAACCTGGAAGGCAGAGCTGTACAGCCCTGTTCATAGCAGACTTTGGAGTGACTTAGTCTCGTCCCTTGGACACATCTTCATTTTTCTTGGCAAGTTTACTCTCTTTCTACTCTAGACTGCTTTTATTCTTCTTACTTTTCTGTAAGTTTCCTGTAATTTTTCAATGAATATTTCTATTCTGAAGTATATATGACCAAATATTGCCTTTGGTATCAGAAACAGCACTTTTAATCTTTATGTTGCTCTACATACAACTTCTCTACAGGTACTATTCCCCCTTTTTCTCCCTGTTCAGTGTGTGACTGTATTTGTCTGTCCAACTATATGATCTAATTATAAGAAATGTTAACCTGAATGCAATAAGATTTCTATTTTCAAGACAGAAAACATAATCCACCCTGATTCTGTGGAGAGAAAACAGGAAAAGAAAACAGTTCAGCTCGCAGTGCTGATATTGAAATAGATGTCCAAAGGCAGAGAAATCTTTAAGGAAGATTAAAATCCTGTTGCATCATGGGCTTAAAGAAAAATGTCTTGCATGTCTCAAAGTTCTCCTCTCCTGTAATTGAGGGTATTGGTCATGTGACTCAGAGAATGAGCCAGGAGCTTTGTTAACCACGGCAGCTTTGGCTCAGTGTAGTATGAATTAATGTGGAGTTGACTGGGAATATGTATTGGTCGAAATCTTTAAGTGGTGCATTCAGCTATAGGGACTTAACAGCCCAGAGAGAATTGGAGCAAAAGGTAACTGCTGAAAGGAGGTACCTTCTCCTTTGTTCCTTTTTTCCAGGCCCAGCACATTTCTCTGCCTCTCTTCCATCTGTTCTGATCAGTTTTGAATTGCTTCAGTGTGAGATTCCATCAGCATTGCTCCAAGCATTTGCTAGGGATTTCGTGAAAATCAAGTGCATTACCCTCCCCCAGTCTAGCCTATTTCTTGGTCTCTCTAGGCATCTCAAGGAGAAGGGAACTGGAGCAGGCTCCTCCCTCTCCATTAGGTTTTGGTGGTATTTTTTTTTGCTTTGGTTGAGCACCCTGGGTAGCACATAGGAGAAAGTGCTTCACTAATTAGGGTAATTTTCAATTCAAAAAAAAGGCAGGAACCTTAATGGATTGTCTAAGAAAATTACAACAATATGCAAAGCAATGCACTGCTAGAAATACCCATGCTGGTTGACCATACTGTGTTGCTTTCGATTCCACAGGAGACCAGTTCACTGCTTTTTTTAGAGTCTTTTATGGTCTTCTTGGGCTTGCATATCCATTGCAGAGCGTAGATAAAAATACTGAGCTTCCTATTATTTCTTTACTTTACAGCTCAAAAGGCATTGTTCTTGCACTGAGGGTTGGATGACCTAAACTCTGAATGGTTAAACTAGATACTCATCTGCATATACAATTCCTTCCTTCATGTCTTCGAACTCTTCTGCCCTTCAGTCTAATAATTTGGGTTAATATACAAATGCCACTTTCATTTGGTATTTAAAATGCACAGGAATAATCTACATTATTTGGCCCTCAAGATAAACAAATTACTGTAATGGTAAAACAGATTGATGAACATCTAATCTCACTTGTGCTTGGCCTTCCAGATAAATTCAAGCAAGGAAATAATCCTGTTTGATTGTATTCTAAAATTATATGGGCTCACTTGCTTCTTTCAAAATACCCCTGTATCCAAACAGTTATACTCTCCTGAATCAGTTGTACAACAAACAAATCTAAATACTTTATTCTCCACATTCCTCTGACTAAGCTGAGGGTCCTGGAATTGTTTAATGCATTTGAATGTTATATTTTTCTCATAGGTTTCTGGCTCACGTAAGCACTGTGAAAGTATTTGAGCTATGAATGTTATAAAGAAAAAATAGCAAATATAAAACCTTGTTATCTTGCCAGATCATACTGTGCCTTACTGAAACAAGTTGAGTGTTTGAGATGCTTAAGCACACATCTAAGCTGAATTGGCATCCCCTCCCAGGTTCTAGTGAGTATTTTCAGGAAAGAGCCATGAAGCACATCAGCAAGTTAAAAAAAAAAATAAATAAACAAAACCATACCCAAACAAAACAAACAAAAAATCCCCACAAACAAACAAAAAACACCCAAAAGATTTAATTATCAAGTTTCCAAAGACTTGCAAGCTATCACCCGTAAGTCTCACAGATATAACATGGTAACTTTTCATGTCCATGTTTGTGGTCTATGACAAAAACAAGGTAGCTTGACTTGCATTTCCCTGGAATGGAGGCAGATCAAACTAAGCTGATTTGCTTCACATTTACCTCAGGCTGAGCTTGCACACAGGCAGTTTCTGTGGGAGCGCTGATACCTGATAACTTGGCCACGTGCACTAAGTGTTGTGTGATTAAGTGTGTACATCTAAATTTGCAATAACCTTTCCTATTCAACAGCCATTTGTCCCTTGAAATATTCAAACTCTTGATCATCTTGCTGTTTCCCTATTTTACCTGGATGAACAGAACTACAAAATGGGTCAGGTTGGACAGGACCACAGTGGGTCGTGTGGTCCAACCTCCCTGCTCAAGCAGGGCTGTCCTAGAACACATAACACAGGATTGTGTCCAGGTGGTTCTTGAATATCTCCAGTGAGAGAGACTTCACACCCTCTCTGGACAACTTGTTCCAGTGCACAGTCACCTGCACAGTAAAGTTCTTCCTCATATTCAGGTGGAACATTCTGTGTGTTTCAGGTTTCTGCCTGTTGCTTCTGGTCCTATTGCTTGGCATCACTGAGAAGAGCCTGGCTCCATCCTCTTGACACCCTCTCTTCAGATATAGTGCCCAGAAGAGTATCATCCCATCAGGGCATTCCTGTTCTGCATTATGAGCATGTGCATCCTTTGGATTAGTTTTACTGTTGGCATTGAGTGAAGGGTAACACCTGCAGTTTGAGGCTGCAAAGGCTTTTGCAGCTCCGGTGTAAATTACTGGAGAATCAGGTTTTTCTATATAGTTATAGACAGCCTCAGGTTATGAGTAAATGTGTTGGTGTTGGTGGCAGTACCAACATACAGTTCTGCCCACACTGCAGTGCACAACAGGAGTTTGGAGTGTTGTGGCAAGGAGTGGAAGAGCATGAAATGTGATAATGTCTCCCAGTATCCTAGATGGTATTTTCAGTCCCTTTTTCTAGACCACTCAATTGACTATGAGATGTAAGCCCTATTGCACTGTAGGATTCTTTGGGGAGGTTCATGGCAAGCTTGAACTTTATTGGAAAGTGTCGCTGGAAGGCCTGGATACAGCTTGTACCTTAGCACTTAGAACAATACTGTATCCTTCCTTAGTCACACTGTTGGAGCTGTTGTGTGTATGAAGCCTTCAGAGGCAGCAGGCAACATGTTTTGTATGTAGTGGGCAACATCCAGGAGAAAAGCAAGACATAATTCCTTAGTGCAGACTGCCCTGATCGCTTTACCTGAGCTTGTCAGGAGGGGCAATAGTGGTGAGCTGTCACCTGCTCTGTGCGGTGTCTGAGTCTGGGAGAAGGGCAAGAAGAGTCAAAGAGGAGGATCCCCATCAGAGGCAAAACTTCAGAAGGAAGATGATTGTGTCCATGAAAGTTTGTACATAATCTCTTGTATGATGCAGCAGACAAACAACATTGAGAGTCTTGCTGAACAGTAGGAAAGATTGCTGCCCAAGTACTCCAGAAGCTGGTAGCCATTGACTTGTTCTTCTGTGGGTCAGTTTGGAGTTGAGATGACAACAGCCACCTCTGAAGCCTGGGATACTGCAGCAGCATACCAAAAGTTCTTGTTCTCAGATGTCTCTGGGTGATGCGTATGTGGCAAATAATGGCAGGTTTCTTGGGCATGGGATTCTCCAACACTGTTGCCATTGGAGGCACTTGCATGGCCTTTGACCAAGCACAGTCTGCCCGTGACAGAAAGGGATTTTATTTTGTCTGCAGCAGACTGGAGAGCTACCACGAATGCCTTATTGTCATCAGTGCTGCAGATCTGTCATGTGTTTTCCACAATGCCAGCTTGGTTAATGACTTCCAGGAGCCAAGCAGAAATAGCAGGTCTGCAGCTTCATTAAGATATTCAAACCAGTGCTTGGCACAAACTGACCGAGCTGAGCAGCCTCAGACAGACCTGCCTTGTGAAGACAGGCAGCTTCACTTGCCAAAAGCTGTTCTGTTATTGCCTTGGCTGTTGCTGCCTGTGGACTGCTACAGATTTCACATGTAGCAGTAAGGATTGGATTGTAGTCCAATGCCAAGTCTATTTCTTAAATTCTGTTTGTGGTTTTTTTCGTACAATCAGAGAGTTGCTTCGTTGAAAGGGGACCTCTGGAGGTTGTGCTCAATGTAGAGCTGACGAGCAAATTGTTCAGGGCCCTGAGCAGCTGAGTTCTGAGTATCTTCAAGGATTGAAATCCCATATGCTTTCTGGACCCTTGTCCCTGTGTTTGACCACCTTCATGATAATTTTTTCCCTGCTTCTTACTGAATTGGGAATTTCCCATTTTCCAGCTGGCATCTGTTGTCTTTCACTGTGCATCTCTGAGCAGAGCAAGGGTCTCTTTCATCCATACGCATTAGGGACTTGTAGACAGGAATAAGGACTCTTGGCCTTCTCTTTGTGAGGATGCACAGACCAATTTTCTCCGCTCCAACCCGGTATGTCAGTGTCTTTTGTACTGTTGGGATCCAAAAGTGGACACAGCATTCCAGATGTGGTCTCATAAGTGTCAAATAAAGAGACAGAGTCACCTCCCTTGAGCTGATGTCTGCAATTTCGCTAGAGCAGCCCAATGTGTACCCTTTGCTGCAATTATTTTTTCAAGTAGGAGTTGCGATTGCACAAGCAGGTCCTGGCAGCACCTGTGACATTGTCAGATCTGATGTAACTCTTTCACCTGCATACAGAATCTAGCTACAAAGCGGCAACTCTGTGGAAAGCCTTTCATCATTGTTTGCTGCAAATGTGTGTGAAAGTAAATATTAAGATGTTCTCTTTCAATTTAGCATGCAAAAGAACAGGCACAATTCTAGGATGTACTGCCTTTGAAACAGTTTGCTTCTCTACTCTGAAGGATAAAGTTCAAGTTTCTAGCAGAAAAGTTATTTATTGTGAGCAAATGTATAATAATTTGTTTATAGATGCACAGAACAGTAACTATGCAAAACCAAGCAGTAGAGCCTATCATAGGCCAGTTGCTAAAGTTAGGGCAGGTGCTGCTGAAGTTGAATCCTGCCTTGTATTGCTGATAAGCCTGCAGTGTCACTGGGTTCTGGCAGCTCTAGAGTGCAGGGTGAAACCTGATGGGGAAAGTGTGGAACAAGGACCAAAGGATCGAGGAGCACAATGGTGAGACATGCTAAAGGGCCAGCAAGTGCTCCTAAGATACTGCAACACACTGCTCTGCTTCTCTCATCATTGCTCCTCTTTTTTGGCCTTCATCCTACTCCATACCTACGTTTCTGTGTGATGGGTTGACAGGGAATATGCTTGCTATCTGGCTGTGATCCATGGGACTGACAGATCAGTCCACCTACTTCAAAACTACGTGCACTCGCTTTACCTGATGTCTCTATTGTCACAACAGCCTTTTCCCTGCCTCCGCTCTTACATGACCCTTGTCATTTTGCTTCAGACTTGAGTGGAAAAAAATGTGTTAGTGATTGTTTTCCTGTGGCAGAGGAGCACTCAGTCTACTGCTTGGGTTCAAGAGAATACCAAATGTTGGTATACACACAGTTGTTATGTTCTAAATCTGCTTTTCTGGGTGTTGTGCACCTTGCTGACAAAATAAAGTTATAGCATCTGTGATATGTGTCACAGCATGCAGTGGCTGCCTACAAGCTCCCAAAGGGGCACTGTACCAGGGACCAAGCTTTTAGGTTATGATAAATAATTGAGCCTAGAGCAGTAACAGCTGGTGACCTTTTGGAAAGAGGTTTAATCCTGAGCATAGAGAGATTTAGGTCTCCCACTCCTAAGGAACTGGAAACACATTTTGGAAGGGACTTTTTCTCTCAGACATAATTGGTTTAGTGGTGCCTGAAGTTCAGGCACCACAGTTTAGTGGTGCCTGAAGCAAGTCTTTGCTTCTGTGTTCTACAAAACACAGAGTTTTATAACTTGTATAAATTTCAACTCTGCACTTTTCTACCCCAGTTCCCACTTAAACTGCTAATTTTTAAGGGCAGGGGGAGGGAGGGAGAGGAAGAAACCATGGAATAGAATATAGAGGTTATCACCACTGATCCTATGTTCAAGTCAGATCTCTCATCAGTTAGTGAAAAAGAGAGCTGAATGCATTCTGCTGGCCAGCTGTCTGCAGTTACGAAATCAGCATCAAATTCAGCTCTTCTGGTCCTAACTGAAGACTCTATTTTAGGAAAAGGTTTCCTTTCTTGGTCTGTAGAAAAGCACCCAAGGAAGGTAAGCACTGGCAGGATAGGATGGCATTGCCACTTGTGCATGCCAGGAGGGAAAGAGTACAACAGTAATGTGGATGGAGTAGTTCATTTGAAAGGCATTATGGTTTTTTTAGAAACATCTCTCCGATGAAATCTTTGGTGTTGCTGTCACGGTGAAATATTAAGCATGGTTCTTAACTGATTGACAGAAAGTAGGCTGAAATGTGGAAAATACATTGCTAATAACTCTTCTTTTCTCTGCATACAGGGAAACAGCTGGATGGCATCTGGTAAGTGACTAGATTTAAATTGCATAACGTGTGTAAAACACTGTGGTGTAGGAAGCATTTTCAATATGAGGTTATATATGCTTCAGATCTTAAGAACATTTTATTGTGGAAGAGAGACCAAGGCACTTTTTGTTCCTGAATACAGATTGATGGTAAGATGGTGTACAATCAGGTGCTAGTTAAACCTCTCCATTCAAAGCTCAGTGGACCCCATGGAAAAAGGTGGTGTTAGTGCACCTGTACACTTTTACAAGGGTAGGATGTTGTCTTTGTCCCAAGTACTTTGTCATGTAATTCCAGGCATGACCAAACATGAGAGTAAAAGAGTAGGTGGGAAGAAGGTATTACAGAAACAGGCCTTCTGGCATGTAAGAGCACCGTCTCCATTTGGTTACAAAACAGCCCCCAGCTTGCTATAATTCATATCAAGAATTTTTATATCATATCAGGAGGGTTTTGGGTTTCTTTTAAAGGCAAGAAAAACACCAAACCCTTGTCCATCCATTTTTGCCTCTATTGATCCATCTCCAGTGGTTGTCTGACCAGCTTCTCAGCCAAAGTCTTTCCAGCATACACCTCTGTCAGCGTGGTAGCAAAGTAGCTCTGCCTGTCTGTCTCTGTGACTTCACCCTCAGCTGAGGGAGGCTCATGCCTGGGCTCCCAGCTAAGACTGTTCTTTCGCAACCGCTTACAGAGTTACAGTAGGCTTGATAATAGTTGCTTCCATATCCATTCATGTCCCAGCAGATCTTGTTCCTACTCACAGAAACACATTGACCTTTTCTTTCAGTTATTCCCTTCGTGATGTCCTTGAGCTGATAAATTTACCGGTGATTTCTGTGCTAGGCTATTTCCTTTTTTCCTTTGTTTCACCTGTTTTTTGTTCTCTGTGGCAGGCACACCTCCATAATAGTCCATAAGGATGAATTCTTCTACGGCAGTGGAGGAATCTCCAGCTGTGCACCTGTAAGTTAAACTTAAATTTTCTGATAATTTTTTATAGGATTACCTGCTCAGAATCGCTTGTGTTACTGTCTTTTAGAAAAGCAGCAAGAGACTTCTAAATTAAGACAGAGGATGAAGCCAGCTGCTTGCCATGGTTTTCCAGGGCACCTAAGGAAAAGGGAGCATGAACAGTGGGTTTAAGCCCAAATAAATACAGGTTGGGGATTGCTTCTTCTGGTAGAATCTGTCTATCCAGAACACCTTCTGCATTGCCAGAGTGACACTTTGTCCAATTCTGTATTGTTAAGTTTTGCATGCAGACTTTTTAAGATTAAATAAAACTAAGGCAAAACAAAAACATGATGCTTTCTCAGACCTTCTGTTCTTGGAGAGGTAAAATGGATAGGCTGTTTTTCTAAAGCAGAATTTTGCCACAGCTTAGAGCTTTCAGCCCAAAGAGCCAAATGTAACAGCTGAAAAAAAAGTTGCATGTTATTCTCTTGAGAGGGGAGGCCAGCAGATCTCCTTGCTCGACAAACGCACTAGAAGGCCCTCCTTTTGTGCCTGGACAAGTCACAATAGCTCTATTCAGAGTCCTCCAAAAGAATTCAGTCTGATCATTTAACATTGTCTTCTGGATATTAATTTTTACAGGGAGGAACACTTCTTGGCCCCCCAGACACAGTTGTTGACCTGGGGAACACTGAAGTCACTGAAGAAATTTTTCTGGAGTATCTTTCCTCTCTGGGGGAGTCTATGTTCCGGTAAGTAACAGCTTGTACTAGAAAATCTGTATATCAAAAAAGTGCAGAATGGAGGAAGTATTGTGAAACCAGTCCAGCTCACAAAGCTTTTGTCTGCTTAGTGTATTATTTGGTACTCTTCAAATATGAGACTGGAACTGGTGTACCAATACACAAAGAGCTACCAGCTAGGCAACCCTGCGGTGTGCCAGCCTTGAGCTAGGCTGGGAAAGCATTCTTGTGGGAAGTGTTTCACACTTATAAAATCGAATAATACCTGAAATGCCTTTGAGAGAATCACCAAGGAAAATGAAATCTCTCAGTAAATAGTGCTTTGCCCCAGGAGTCATAGGTGAAGTGGTGTAGTAAAGCTGCCAACTTTCACGTGAGTAAAAGCAAGGTCTTGAGTGAGTCTACTTCTCACGAGAATAGAAAATTGTAGCATTTAGTGTTCTGGCTGTCTTTCAATGTCAATAATTCCTGCGATTTCTCATTACTTTTCTGTGGTTTTAAGTGACAAAACATGACCTCAGTTATCCTCCCAAAACCCATTGTATTAAAGTCAATGATGCAGAGAGATGTTATTTTCCACCCTGATTCAATTGAATTTGAGAGTGAGTTGATGTCTGTATTTTACCTATTTGCCTTAGAATTCCTTGGGGAGGGGGGTGCTAATGTAAGGAAATGTTCTTCATTAGCTTGTAAGATTTATTGCTGAGTCTGTCTTTATGGTTCAATTTCTTTTCTGTGGCACAGAGGAGAGTCTTATAACCTCTTTGAACATAACTGCAACACCTTCAGTAATGAAGTGGCACAGTTTCTGACAGGAAGAAAAATCCCTTCCTACATCACTGACCTTCCATCTGAAGTTCTTGCCACGTGAGTATGGATGTTCCTCCTCTCTGTAGCTGATTCATGCTAGTGCTTAAACATATGACAGAATGAGCAGTACCAGTTTCTGCTGGCTCTGCCTAAGAACCAGGATAGGATTAAGGAGAAGATGCTATTTACTTGAACACTTACAACACCGTATCACAAGTGCTAACTGGAACTGGTGTTTACAAAGAAGACAAGAGAAGGTTGTTCTTCTGCCTTTACTTAAACTAGTTATTTTGTGATGGTCTCTTATATGTGACCAGACAAGCACAGAAAGTTTCAGAAAACAGTGCAAGTTTGTTTTTTTCTTTTAGGAAACAAACGTCTGTTAAAGATCTCTTCTCTAAGCACCGTAATTGCAGTGGAGGTGTCAGCTTTGCTTGTGACGAGGCAGGGGAGATGTAATTTTTAAATTAATGCTGCAGTTTTAAAGCTAGGACTGGGTGGAAAAAGAGGATATGAAAAAGAAGAAATTAATTCCTGCTTGATAATTCAGATCAACTTATTTTTTTAAAACTCTCAGCTAGTGAGGATCCCAGTGGGATGATTTGAGCTCCATCATGTAGATCTTAATTTTTCATAACAATGGTATAGCACATTATTTGGGAGACTTGTCTGCTGCCCTGGGCTCTCAACATATCAGATCTCTCAAAATCTATAACAGAGTGAGTCATATGGAAAGATAACCAGGTGCTACAGATTGCAACAGGATTTATTCTGTGAGTGTTGATCCATTGTCTTTAAGGAAGCTAGAGGCTATTCTTCTGGCAGATCTCAGTATTGATGTACTTAATGGAACACTGCAGTTGCATAACAGGGATTTTGTTTGCACACTTAAGTAGAATGAATTACTGAAAGCTAGTTTCAGACACAGTATTACCACATTATCAGTCTTGGCATGTTAGGACTCGGAACTAGCTTATAGTAAATAAATTTTAAGTTCCTTAGTTATTGAACAGTAAACTCTCTTTATTATGTTAAATTAGTTTGCTTAAGTTTGTAGTGGAGGTTCTTCAAATTTGCTTCTGCAATGGTGGTTTGCTTGCACTCTCTAGGAAGTGAGTGAGCTTCAGTAGTAAAGGGGAACAGTTGTTAATCAAGTAAACTATTTGAGATGTTTATTTCTTTACCTTCTCAGACCTTTTGGACAAGCTTTAAGGCCCCTCCTGGACTCCATCCAGATCCAGCCACCCGGAGGAAATACCTTCAGCAGACATAATGGACAGAGCTAACAGGAGTGACCGAGTGTGCCCAGCTTCAGCAGGCCTCTTCCTTTTTAAACACGAATCTACCAGATTTCTATTTTATAATTTCCCATCAGAATTAACTCTGAAGAAGTTACAAGACAAGTTTTAAAATTTCCTAGGGAGAGGATTTATCAGGGTGCATGTAAGACAATGCTACCAGAAAGGTTGCCATAATTTCTAATAGCATTATACTAATTTATAAAGGCTGTCTTGTCGAGTAGGCTGAGACTTTCTACGTAACTCCTGTGCTGGTAAGTGGGAATTCATTCCGTGAGCATTCAAGGGCCCATCACACAATTTGAAGTAAATAAGGGGGTGTCCTAACCATCCCTTGCAGACTTGCATTTCTTTCTCCTGTCACTGCCTGTATTATGGGAGTATTTGCTGAAGTCTGTAGCAAAAAAGGCAAAGGAAGTATTGGTAGCCTAGGAAGTGAAGGTGTCCAAGGATTAGTCTTCTGCATATTTCACTGACATTGTTATTTGCTCACGGGAAAAGCTGAACTCATCTGACTAGAATATCTGCAGTGGCACAGCTGTGTGGGAAAGGTGATGAAGCTGAACCATGTGTCAGTGTCACACTCAAAAGTTGAAACTCAGTGGAACTTGCTGTGGTGGGAGGGAGGCTGGAACTGAAGGTTACCAAGAAGCTTGTAATGCCAGATCCAAGAGTTATGGGAAGGAACCAGCTGAAAGAACAGAATCTCATGAGCAGAAGTGGCAGAAACAAATTTCAGGTGAAAGTAAAGTGACGTGAAATGTTTCCTTTTCCCGCATGTAAGCTTATCAACAGATAGACAGAACCTTGTTAACTATTTACCTTTGCATAAGAACTGTGTTTTCTTGGGTTTTTCTCCTTACTAAACCAGACTTACAGTACAGTAAGACAGGAATAGCATGGCAACTGCATGATAATATAAGTTGGACCAATTCTGCCTTCAATATCAAGTTGCAGACGCAGTAAGAGTTCTAACTTTCATTGATATTGCTGGCCTTTCCAAAGCAGTCAGCGACATCAGAGAGGGCTCTGCTTAAGAGAAATAAGTGCTAGGTCTCCCCAAATGTAAAGAAAATGAGGAAGAGTAAAATTAAGCTTTCCATGGAGCAACTGAGTTTTTTGGGAAACATGCAGAAGCAGTCCTGTCCTTAGATTGTATCAATACTGCATCTACTAGTTTAAGATTTTTATAGCTTTGCAATTATTTGCAGTGGGAGAAGAACAGGGGAATGAAAGAATAGGCACACTGTTTTGTTTTCATGCATGTATATACACAATTTTGTAGCATTTACATTTAGGAAGGAATACAAGAAAGACATCGGACAAACCCCAAAACATTGCTGATGCTCCGTAAATGGGGACTGCACGTCCCAGATGCTGCTGAAAAAGCATCTATGCAAATGTACAGCCCTTTGTCCAGTGCTTTGTTGTGAAAAGTATTGCTGCAAGTTCAGTCCTGCATCTCAAACTTCCTGCACTGGAAACTTTCTGCATACCTAAAGGGGGTATCTTTCCTCTGCTGGGTTCTTTCTCCCGGAATAATGCAGTTTGATAAGTTTGTCGCACTATTTCTCTGTTTGGACTGTAATGGTTTGTATTTCTGAGGGATTGGAATAGAGGAAAACTGCAGTTTCATCACTGTCAAATACTCTGCTGCCCTGCAACTTGTGGAGCCACTGCACAGATGGAAATAGGGTAGTGTCAGTCCGTTCTGCGTTTTTTTGTGTACCTGCTTTCAGTGCACAGCAGGGGCCCCTGCAGCCCAGATGCTTCTTTTCTCTTGTCATTCTCTGCTTGTGCCATCAACTTCTCCTTAAGCATTTCATTTGATGGACTGGACTTGGAGATAATGGTAGCAGTTAGTACAGATTGCTTTATATGAAAGCTTTCAATCTTTCCCCCTCAAAGTGTCCTGTTTGCAGAAAGCATTCTATAAGTCATTCATTAATGCCTTTTGATGCTGCTGGAGGAAGGATTGGTGTTTGTTTTCTGCTAAGCAATAGCTTAGATTTCCTGTTTACTATGTGTATCCTCTCCAGTCTTTTTTCATACCCATTCTGTGAAGAGTAACCAGCCTAGCCTTTCATCTTAATGCACACGACTGTGCCACAAAACATTGTACATCGCGTTAGAGATCTTGGAGCTTCCTTAGTTGAGTGGGTATACTCCAGCTGATACAGTGCAGCCCAACATCTAGGTGTGCTAGTTTGGTACCTGCAAGCAGCACAGCTGTGCTTGCTTGTCTTTCAGCAAACTATCACTTCAGGTGCAGCTGCCTGTGGAAGCACTGGTGCCATGGTTTCTGCCTACTTCAGGACTTTTTACATCCTCTCAGGGGGCAGGAAAGAAAAGGAAGACATTCACCCCATGCATTTTGCAATCTGCCTTTTCCCCTCCTGAGCAGCCCCTTTGCAGAGATAATGCTCCTACTTTTAGGTCACTTTGGGTAAAATTTCACTCAGCCATATCCTGTTTGCAATAGCTAGGGAGCTCCTGAGGGGGCCTTCTGGGCTCGGGACCTACACTTGTGTTTTGCAGCAAAAGAGCTGTAGGGGGGAATCCTTGTTTGCTTGGTCTTACTGGGTGATAAAACCCCTGTACCCTGTAGGACTCTTAGGAAACCCATTTTCTCCAAAGATGGTTATGTATAAATTGCAGGACTGTGCCCTCAATGTTCCACCCCGCCAAATATAAACTAGACTGAGAAGTGTATGTGAGTGTATGTTGGTGATGAACTTCAGCCAGCTGACTGACAAAGGGGCAGGGAAACTGAACCCCTGAACGGGAACAGAACTCTTTTGCCCACACTTACTATTCTGTCTTGTATTGCTGGGGTTCCCCCATGCCATTTTAAAAATGTTAATAATGTCTTTAGGCAGAAAGTGATGTTTTGATTTATTTGTGGGTTTTTTTCTATTACAATAAAAATAAATACAGCAAATTTCCTGTTTGAATGCATGTGCCCATGCAGCTGCCCAGCGAATGCAGCTGACCAGAAGTCATCATCTTTACTCTGATCCCAGCCGGGAAGTGCAGGATGAGAAATTGTTCAAGCAGTTTGCGCCAAGTACTGCTACTGAAAGTAGTGGTGGCTACTGCCCTTTCCTGAACTGGCCACAGGCAATATTCTTATTTAATTTTGGAAAAATTTTTCTTCTGTAAGTACTGTGGTATCTAAAATCATACTCCTGAGGCTTGACACAGCTTGGATGCGCTTAAAGATGATGTTCTGTCAGCACAGGTTTTGTACAGCCCTTGCTCATTTAAGTGTGCAAGAATGAAATGTCTAATGTCTGCTGCTGAAGAAGAGGCTCAGCAGAGTTTAAACATGGGAAAAGGCTCTAAGCTTGATGCTGCTACTTCAAAATGGAAAAAAAAAAAACCTAAAAAGCAGTAGACTAAGAAGTAGACTTCATGCCTGGGTTCCTCTGAAGCTGCAGAGGAGATATTGGTGAGGATTATGTAGCACTGCCCCAAATATCTGGCTCTGGGGAAGACATTAATTCTGCTTGGTTTGGCCTTCTGCATGCTTATTGATGGCATCCAAATGATAAACCACACAGGCTGTTTCTGTAACAGTCTGTATCAGCGTAATACAGAAGAGGTCTTGTAACAGAAGGAGGTTGTAACAAAGATGCATGATTGTGGTTATTTTGGGCTGTGTTACTTAGATGTGGTGCTAGTTTGCTATCAGGTACTAGTACTGGCCCCACACAAAATACCTGCAGTTGGGTATTTTAAAATTTAATTAATTTTTTTTTTTTAATTTAAAAGAAAACCTTGACTTTACTAGCAGCCCTAGACAGAGTGTAAGACAGTTGCTCACAGTAGCTTACCTTCTAAACTTCTAACAAAATACATGCCTTTGCTACTAGTAGCAGAGATTTTATTCCTGATGATGCCTTGAGCGGCAGTCAAGCGAATGTATCCAGTGGTTGAAGCACAAAGTATTAAATAACCACAACAGCCACAGTATCCCTGCTCAGAGCTAACCTGGATGAAGGAACAAGCTGTACGCAGCTGTGCACTTCACCAAAAGGCGGGCTTATGCTCTCAGGGAAACCAAGATGTCCCAAGTCCTCACTGGGTGATACCAAATGGCCATGGAGGTGCTGGGAGAGGTGTTTTGACTCAAAGAGAGTTTCTAAAGCAGTGTGACAAATAAGCTGTAGAAAGCACAGCAGGTAGTTCAAGTTTTGGAAAGCTATGCTGGTAGCATAAACCTGATGACACTTCAGGAGTGTGAAAATGTGAATGCTGACTGAATTTTAACAGGCTTCCCAATTCAGGAAAGTGCCCCGAGGTGGCACTGCTGCCTCGAAGCACAGGGATGCACCTGAGCCTGGGGAGAGTGGCTGGGATGTCCATAGTAATGTCAGTGCAACAGGCATGGAGCCAGGTCTCTCCCAGACAAGAAAGCTGCAGGTAGGAGCAGCCAGGAGACAAGACCATGGGGCAGCTTGGACTACAGCAAGAACCTGGTAGCAAGGACACTACAATGCCAGGGTTGCAATAGGTGTGAGCTGGCAGGTTTTCCTAAATCTGTGCTTATTTCATCCAGACTGGGAAGTCTTGTCCTCATACCATACCATGGTTTATGGAAAATAAAGGCTTGCATTCCTGAAACCCTTGGAGTTCACTGTGTATCTGACCCCACGGCTGTCTTTTGAGAGCCCTGGGCATTAACTCGCAGTTCTGCTACGTGGGGGAGCAGTTTTTTGGCTTTTGGTACTCAAGTACCCCAAACGCATGAAAGCATTTCTGCTTACTCGTCAGCGTTCCATGGTAGGCACACTTTGAAGTATTCATATTCTGGAGTAAGCATCCACACATTGACTGATGATATGTGTAACCACACCTAGACAAGTCCTATAAATGAACATAACCCTAAACTGAACTAAAAACTCAGTGCTCAGTTGCATACAAAGCAGCTGGGTGCTGGGAAACCATTGTGGGAGCTTCAATGCATCTGAGTAAAGAGTCTGACTTTCCAGAGGCAGGAGCCCGTAACTGGGTCTAATCCAGAAGGCCCCAGCAGCTGTGATTCTGCAAGAAAATCAATGCTGGGACAAATAACACTTGCAATACCCATCCAAGACTGCCTGACTCACTATGTTGGGAAGGCAACTCGCAGAAACAGATGCAACAGTGGAAACAGCTGTCCTGGTGGCATTAGCCAGTGGACAATGAATGTCTCCCCCAGAAAGTAGCTGAGGATGTTTTGGTAAACCAAAATTATTAATGTTGTTTCTGTACACCCCCCTTTCACTGAGTGGGAGCAGGAAAATCATAAACCACAAACAAAAAACCAATCTGTGAAGCCACCCAGATGCTTCATTTTGAGAGGAATCTGGTGGAGAACTGGGAAAAGGGATTGCACAATATTCTGCAACAAATAATACTGAGGAAAAAACAATCAGTAAAAAAATGTCATCCCCCAGTTCCAACCTAGCTCGGCACTGAGCACCATTGGGGAAGGGAATGCAAGCTAACTGTTGAGCAGAAAGCATTGAATGTTCCACATAGTTTGTTTTTGATTTTGGAAAATAATTCAGGAATTATTTGAAGCGATGGCAGTGGGGAGGGGGCTGTCCACTGCCACATATCAGGCCAGCATGATATGGAGCCATATGAATCTGACCAGATGATCTAATTAAATCCTAAATGACTTTTGAGCAGGTCAAAGCAAAAGTTACTAGCTTTGCGCAGAGGGTATTTTCACTTCTCCAGTGAAAGTATTAGCTATGAATAGCTAATCCTATTGGAAAAGCAAGATGAGGCACAGGGACTGAATGGGTGAGTGTGTGCTGCTAGGACAGTGTGAAGTGTCCTTCGCTAGGACACAGAAACACGCAGAGGAGCTGAGCTTACCAGGCAGCTCAATCCAGACCCACAGCCCCTCCATTCCGGGGGGCGCTGCAGTAATAACAGCAAATGTGAAAACACGCACCCCCACACCCTCCCTCCTCGAAACTCCCAGGTGCCTCGTTAGGGCTCTATAGCAAAGGATTTAAGGAGAGAGCTGAAGCGGGGCCGCCGTTCACGCCCGGCACATTAAGGCTGCGCTGGCGGGGCGATGGAGCCGGTGGGGGGGGGCACAGGAGCGGGGCCGAGGCAGTGGCCGCACGTCCCGCCCGTGGGCGCGGGGAGGGCGGGCGGCCGCCGTCACCTCCCCGGCGCGGTCCCGCCTCCCACCCGCAGAGCCCGGGCCGGCGGCGGGCATGGCGGCGGCGCGGGGCCGGGTGCTGTGCCTCTTCGACGTGGACGGGACCCTGACGCCGCCTCGGCAGGTAGCGAGGCGCGGGGGCGGCGGGCTTTTTTTGCGGGGGCGAGGTCAGCGTGGCGGAGCTTGTCCCGCTGGCTGCGGCCTCACCCGCTGCTTCCCCTCCAGAAAATCGAGCCGGAGGTGGATGCGTTCCTGCGGGAGCTGCGGGAGAGGGTGCTCATCGGCGTGGTGGGAGGCTCCGACTATGCCAAGATAGCCGAGCAGCTGGGGGACGGGGACGAAGGTGAGACGCGGCCGACGAGGTCTCCCGGGGGTCACCTGTGCCCTAAATCCAACCCCAAGGCTGCCCCTGGGGAGGCTGGCGGCGCCCAGGCGGAGCTGCTGCTTGGCTCCCCCTCCCTCTTTGGAGAGCCGGCAGGGATGCTCCGATCCACGCTGCCGACTCCAGCGTCAGTTTTGTACGAGCTTCACCAAGGCTCTTAACAGCTGCACCCCTCGATACAGCAGGCAGGAGCCTCCGGCAATTTTTGCCTCCCTGCTGCTCCATGCGGGGTCTCCGGCAGGTTCCACTGGGGACACGGGGTAGAATAGGGTAGAAGCCTCTGCTCCCTCCGTTTTTTCCTTCTCCGGCATGGATAACAAGCGCCACTGGGTTCCAAGCTCTGCTCCCGCTTCGTTAGGGAGGCCGAGAAATTCCCGGCTGGGGCTGATTGCTGAGTAGCCAGTGCTGCGTGTCTGGGTTGCAGGAGGAGCTGGAGTTAGATAACCAGTAACCACATCACCCCAGCAGCCTGGCAATGGGGAGGGCAGAGGAGAGAGCAGAGTAACACGCATGTATTTGAAAGCCTGACATTTTGGAACCCTTATCTTCGTCCTGCAACTGATTCAGTCCGTGACCTCGGTCAGGTCGTTTCCCCCTGCGTGCGTCAGCTCTCCACACGGGAACAGAAGATAATCTCCTCATCCACCGTGTGGAAAGCAAGGACAGTAGGATGGTCAGTGGCCCTTTGCAGAGCACAGAAGCTGTGGAAAGTGTGGTACTAAGAAAGCAGGAGGATGCTCACTCAGCCCTGAGCCCAGTCCTTTTCGCTGCTTTTCCCAGGCAATACTCATGTTTCCTCTTTTGCTTCCTTCCCCCTCAGTCATTGAAAAGTTTGACTACGTCTTTGCAGAGAACGGCACAGTGCAATACAAGAATGGGCAGCTGGTCTCCAAGCAGGTAGGTCCAGCTCCCTTTGCAGCCATGGCTTTCCTGCCCTGTGCCCTGCTCGCCATGGGGACCAGCGCCTGCCCCACCCAGCCTCTTCTCCCCAGTTGCCAGATCTAAATGTCCCACTCTTCTAGGTGGGCTTCCTAGGAAGTCAGGCATCTTCTTCACTTCCCCTTCTCTTCATGCAGGCCATTCAGGATCACCTGGGGGAAGAGCTGCTGCAGGATCTGATCAACTTTTGTCTCAATTACATGGCATTGCTGAAGCTGCCCAAGAAACGGTAACGGCCCAAGCGCTTGCAAATAGTAGTCGTAACACTGAATTCTAGGGAGCCCTGGGCTCCAGAGCTCTCATAAAAACAGCTGAGCTACAGAGCTTGTCTTGCTTCAAGTTTTATCTTAGCATCTAGAGGCACTGTGTAGGATCACTGTCCCACTGAACTGGGCAAATAATGGGGGGGGGGGTCTTTGTTCTGAAGAATCTGCATTGTTTTAGCATAATGCCAGTTCTTTGGCCCCTCAGATTTTCCTCCTGGGGAAGCAAGGTACAGCCACTGCACGTATCCCATTTAGGACAATGGTGCCAGCTCATTACTGGTCAGGGCATCAGGCACTATTGGTCCTATGAGTTTCCAAACAGGCAAACAATGGATCTTAAGGTGGGAAGTCCAGTGTCTGAGCACACAGTTTCACACTGTTTCTAATCCAGTGTCACTGGCTGACCCTGCCCTGCTCCCAGCCATGTGTTCCTGTCTGCTCTTCCCGTTGATATCCAGCAGCCAGAGGGGGAGCTGAGTTGGTACACCTCCTCTGAAGGAAGACCAGACCACTACTAGGACAGAAAAGGGTAGTTTTCCATTGGATCAGCTCATCCTCTTAGTACAGAAAGGAGACAGAGGGAACAGATGGCATGAAGGTTGAAGGGTAGAGCAGGAGGACCTCTTTCAGAGGCAGCATGCAGTCAAGCCAGCCTGGATGCAGGGTCAAACCCCACCTCAGACCACAGTTGCACAAATGCATGAGCCACCCAGTGCTGTTGGGAGCAGCATCTCTGTCCTCCCCTCACCCTGGCTGTTTTTTTCCTGCTCTGCCCATGTGTTTGTACAGTGAACCTGAGCAGGTGAGCTGTTGGGTCGAGATTAAGCCGGTAAAAGTTGCTACACTGTGATCCAAGTTATTTTCTTGATATGAGTCACTATGTGACAATAAAAGGACTGGTGAGAGGGGTTAGGGTGGCTCCTTGCAACAGGACTGCTGGCTGAACAGGCCCCTGAAAGCACGTGCTGGGACCCAGAACCCTCAAGGCTGTTTGGTTGCCTCACTGCTGTCTAGTTACCCAACAGCCTGGCAAAGTTTCAGCTCCCAAGTAGCTCTGTGGATTTAGGCTTATAGGATTTCTAGCAAACCAAGGACTTTAACCCACATCTCCTGAGTCTTGGCTTTGGGCATGATCCACCAAACCCTGGGTGCTGCAGAGATGCTACTCCCAGGCTGCAGGCGTGGCTGCCTGTGTGTCTTTCCCCATGGTGTTCCTCACTGTGTAACGAGACAGGAGGGGGAGAGTTTTTCCTCGAGACTCACTTTATCAAAGAGAAACAGTAGGCAGGGCTGGTAGGGACATCAGAGGGTTAAATGTGATCAGGAATCCTCAGCTGGACAGGGAAGGGGATCTCTCTGCTCCAGCTAGGTTTCCACAAGAGTTTCAGTCTATTTTCAAATTAGCAGTGCTGCCATCCCCTGTTGTTTCTGTCCCACCAGTGCTGGTACCTGTCTGGCCCCTTGACAAGCAAACAAAACTAGCTGGGTTTATAGCAGAGAGAAAAGAAGGTAGCATTTTTCTGCCAGCTCAGTGCTTTCAACCAGCCCACCGAGGAAGCAGCAGAGCAGTGATCCCAGCACAAGGTGAGGGTGACAAGCAGGAACTGGATGCTGTCTGTGCAAGCTTAGATACGAGCTACAGTCAAAGGTTCCAGGGTTAAATGGGAGATACGAAGGCCCTGATTTGTGGCCCACGAGGACACGAATTGCCTGATTGCTCCTCAGCCTGTTGGTGGACATCAGCAGCGAGTTACACCGACCTATGCTATTCCACTGCCCCAAGGTACTGCCACCTTCACAGCCCACACAATATTTCTTAAAAGCCTTGTAGAGTGGAGATGCCCCAGTCTCATCAGGCAGTTGGTCCAGGCTA